AAATAAAATTATATCGGCCATCGGCCACCCTGCTTTCCAAGATATCGGCATCGGCTGTCAAAAAACCCATATCAGTCCACCACTAATACTAATATAGCAATTGCATATTGTTGCTCTTTTGTTGGTTTTGATTGCTTCTATTGTCCTCATTTGTAAGTCGCTTTGGATAAAAGTGTTTGCTAAATAACAAAATTTTAATATAGGCTAATGTAAATGTAAATAACAAAACTAAATTTAAATGTTAAATTCCCCTCAGACATGCATTCATATAAACTCCTACCCCTAAATGAATCAACCGATTTGAATCGTCACATATTTGAATCGATTTTCAACCGGCTCGTGGTTAATCGTTACATCTGTACTTATCAAACAAGTAAGTTAAGGCAGATTGGACAATGCATATTTTAGTTAGTGTAAAACATGACATTTCCTGTTGCCAGCAGGTGGTGCTGTATATTATAACTGATTATTGGCATGTAGATGTCTTCAGGCCAGGACTCTTACCAAACATGGGAAGTTTCGTTGAAATTTTATAGGTGGCGCTATCGAGCCATTTTGCCACGCCCAATTCTGAAACCCATATCAGATATAAATCTTCGCCAGTCCTGACGCGTGTGCAAAGTTTCATGAGTTTTGGAGCATGTTTAGGCTCGCATACGTTAGGGGAAGTTTTTAGATAATCCTCTCCAGTTAACAAATACTGAATCAAATAGTAGCTACAAAACTTTGGAGTCAGTAAGAGTTTTTGGTGAAACAAAGAAATTAATATTTTTTATTCAGCAAAGATTAATTAAAAGTCACATTAAAGACATTTATTAGAGTTATAAAAGGTTTCTGTTTCAAAAAATGCAGTTCTTCTGCATTCAAATAAATTCAAACATCAGAGAATCCTGAAAAAAGTATCACAGGTTCCAAAAAAATATGAAGCAGCACAACAGTTTCCAGCACTGATAATAAATCAGCATATTAGAATGATTTCTGAAGATCATGTGACACTGAAGACTGGAGTAATGATGCTGCAAAATCAGCTTTGATCACAGAAATAAATTACATTTTAATGTATATCAAAATAGAAAAACTTAATTTTACATCGTAATAATATTTCACAATTTTACATTTTTTTCCCCTGTATTTTTGATCAAATAAATGCAGGCTTGATGAGCAGAAGAAACTCCTTTAAAAAACATAAAAAAATTTCTGATCCCAAACTTTTGAATGGTAGTGTATATATTGAATTTAATTGTTTTGAATTACCAAAAATTGCTCCCCGTCAACCCAAAGATTCACACTCGTTAAGGATACATTAGTAAAAACCAAAATAATTTAGTCTCTTTCCTGCTATAGCAAAAGATCTCACCGTATTTCCGTGCGGTTTAACCCTTGTTGTTTGATTTCCTCTCTCACCTCTCTTTCAGTTGATATTCGGGAGATTAAGGAGATCCGCATGGGCCAGAAGTCACGAGACTTCGAGCGGTATGTGGAGGACTCGACCGCCCGGCCGGACCAGGCCCACTGCTTCGTCATCCTCTATGGCACAGAGTTTCGGCTCAAAGCGCTCAGTCTGGCAGGTAAATGAGAGCTCTAACGGTGTGCATCACTTCTGTATGATACAATATAAGCTTAATGAAATCCAGTTTAACGATATCTCACTCACTCACTCACTCACTCACTCACACACTCACACACTCACTCACTCACTCACTCACTCACTCTCACACTCGCACTCG